CAGACACTGTGCTACTGAGCTATATCCCCAGGCCTTCAAGTTTATTTTTTTTAATTTTATTTTATTTTATTTTTTTGTCTTTGAGACAGGATCTCTCTCTGCAGTTCAGGCTGGCCTTGAGCTCACTTTGTAGCCCAGGCTGGTCTTGAACTCACAAAGATCCTCCTGCCTCAGCTTCTCAAGTGCTGGGATTACAGGCATGCACCACCACGCCTGGCTTTTTTATTTTATTATAAAGAGAGTAGTAAGTGAGAAACAAACAAAAAAATAGAACAGTAGCAGCATCCCAGTATCACAAACAAACAAATCAAAGCAAGAACATTCAAAGTGATACAGGGTCTCAAGACAAAATAATCTGAATCAACAGTGGTTGTTATATATCGCTGTCCTCAACTACATTGCTCAGATTACCAGATGTAAGAGTGAAAGATTGCTCAAACCATTATAGAGAATAAGAAAATAATTCTTTGATAAAACAGTAGAGATAATACAGAGTTTCACCAGACAAGATGATAAAAGTTCACCATTGTAATTCCATTGCATATTGTTACCTTCACATCAGTTGCTCAGACCACCAGACACAAGCATGCAAAGTTGATCAGAACATAAAAAATTGTAAGCATTAACGGTTCAGTACACCATCAGACATCAGCAATACAGTTATTGCAGCTATTCATATATATATATATTTATATTTTGCCTGCCTTCTTTCTTTTTTCTTCTTTCCCTCATCCCAGTCGTTCCTTCCTTTGAGCAATTTCTTTCCCTTTCCTATCATCTATTGTACGTTTAGAGTTTTACCTAGTCTTTCAAGTTCCTACACCACGCAGACAATATGATGTTTACACATGTGGGTCCAGTTATTTCACTTATGAGTATGGTCTGTAGTTGCGTCATTTACCTACAAAAGCCTCAAGTTTATCTTTTTTAATAGCTGAGTAATACTCCATTGTGTAAAAATACCACCTTTTTTATCCATTCCTCAGTGGATGGGCATCTGGGTTGTTTCCAAGGTTTAGCTATAATAAATTGTGCTGCTATAAACACGGGTGCACATATATCGCTGTGCTATGATGTCTTTAGTTCTTCTGGGAAAATAGCCAGAAGGGGAGTAGCTGGGTTAAATGGGACTTCCAATCCTAGCTTTGTGAGGAATCTCCAAACTGATTTCCACAGGTTTCACCAGTCTACCCACCAGCAGTGGAGTAGGGCTCCTTTCTCCCCACAGCCTCTCCAGCTCAATCAACCTCTCCGGTTAATTTTTTTGATGGTAGCCATTCTTTCTGGGGTGAGATGAAAAGTTTTTGCACATCTAAAGAAATCACAGAAAAGTAAAAAAAAAACAAAAACGCACAAATTGGGAAAAAATTTTAGCCAGCTGCCCCTCAGACAAAGGACTTCTATGGTGGATATATAAAGCATTAAAAAAAAAATCAGGCCCCCCAGATTCAAAGACCCAATCCAAAAATGGGCATCTGAGATGAATACACACTTCTCTAATGAATAGGTAGTAATGGCGAATAAATACACGAAAAAATGTTCAACGCCATTAGTCATTCGAGAAATGCAAATTAAAACAACACTGAGATTCCATCTCGCCAGGGTCCAGACCAGCGTAGGGGAAATAGTGAGACTGTTTTAGAACAGAACAAAAAACAAAACAAACCTTAAAGCTTTAGGCTGTAAATCTTGAAATCTTGGATTTTGCTTTTAGGTTTCCGTTCAGAATCTTAGAAATTATGAAAGGTACTTTATTTACCCTACTGACTGCTGTTACCATATTTAATATTGCCATGTTTCATAACGATGAAAAGAACACAGGAAAAAGCCTTTAGACTAGTACTTACAACTTCCTGTACAGTGAAACTTTGCTTGACTTTCTTTCTCTCTCTCTCTCTTTTTTTTTTTTTTTTTTTTTGCCTTTTTGAGACATGGTCTCACTATGCAGTTCAGGCTGACCTTGAGCTCACTTTGTAGCCCAGGCTGGCCTCGAACTTGAAATGATCCTCCTGCCTCAGCCTCCTGAGTGCTGGGATTACAGGTGTGCGCCACCATGCCTGGCGACTTTCTGTTTCACTTAAAGGATGTTTTTCTCCTTCCCATCAGGTTGGATGCCTGTTTTTTCTGTAACTTCAAAATATGCTACAAAATATCTATAAGTTAGGCAAATAATCTGTTTTTTTCAGAAGCTTTTTAAACTTTTACCTCAAAATTGCCAAGTAGATGATTAAAAAATAAGATTGAGATTTGTATGGCGATATTGCTCTATAAGACACAAAATGGGAGGAGAAATGTGAAGCATTTTAAAAGTTACATGTTAAAATTATATGTTCTCCAAGTTACCTTCTCATCCCTAGAATTTTTTTGTTTGTTTTTGGTACCAGGAATTGAACTCAGGACCTTGTGTTTGCCAGGCAGGCACTGTGCCACTGAGCTTTTTCCCTGGACCCTGAGAATATTATTAAAATGGGTATCTAGGTGTTGTCCCCTCTCATTTATTATCTTGGTTAAATTTTACTTGCTTATTGGTACTGAGGATTGAATCCAGGGCCTTTGCATTGAGGTAGGCCCCCCCCCGCAAAATAAGTTTTTTAAGACAGGGTCTTGCTAAGTTGGCTAGGCTGGGCTCAAACTTGTAACTGTCTTGTCTCAGGCTGTCAGAGTGTACCACCGCACCTGACTCCCTCTGTTCTTTTTTAAAAGTTTGTATGGAGTATTATTCATTATAGCTCATTTTTTGGGTACTACAAATTTATAAAACTGAGGCTTTGAGATTTTTGTTTGGTTTAGAAAGAGTCATTCTTAACTCAGGTTTTGTCATACTCTGGTTTCTCTTCAGATCGTGTAAGTCTTTCACCTTTTTACTCACGTTTTCTCTCAGAATTTTTGATTAAAAATGTTGAATCTAATGCACTGATTGGTTTTGATGAAGGACTCATTTTTATTTTTCCCAAGTATGTATTAGTCAAATATCCTAATGTCCCTTAAAAGTAATCCATTCCTGACTAGCTTGGGCCACAAAGTGAGCTCAAGGCCAGCCAGAACTGCATAGTGAGATCCTGCCAAAAAAAAAAAAAAAAGGTAATCCATTCCTTTCCTGTTTATAAAATTCTGAGTCTCACATATTATTGGAATCTGTGTTCTTTTCCTTTGAAGTGTCTTTTCTCCCCATTACCTTGATTACTTCAGTTTTAAAGTAAGTATAATATGGTAGGTATGGTATGGTCTTATTATGTGCCACCTCAGCCCCCAACTTAAAAGTCTATCCCCACTCCCCTCTTTTTCTTTCTCCTTTTCTCCCTTCCCTCCCCCCTCGCTCTCTTCCCCTCCCCTCTTCCTCCTCTCCCCTCTCATCTTTGACACAGTGTCTCACTTTGCAATTCAGTCTGGCCTTGAACTCACTTATTTAAGCCCAGGCTGGCTTGGAACTGGCAGTGATTCTCCTACCTGAACCTCCTGAGTGCTGGTCTTTCTTTCTTTTTTTGGCGGGTGGCGTTCTTTTTTGAGACAGGGTTTCACTATACAGCTCAGGCTGGCCTTCTAACTCATTTTGTAGCCCAGGGTGGTTTTGAACTCACAGTGATACTCCTACCTCATCCTCCTCTAAGTGCTGGGATTAAAGGCGTGCACCACCATTCCCTGCTTTCAGCTTTTGCTTTCGGCTTTTCTTCATTTTTCTTTGCAGTAATGGGGATTGAACCCAGGGACATCACACTGAGCTATATATCCCCAGCATTTTTTTTTTTTTTTGGAGACATGGTCTTAGTAAGTTCCCCAGGCTGGGCTCCAATTTGCTGTCATCCTGCCCTAGCAGGTATTACAGGAATGTACCACCATCCCCAGGTAAAAGTCTCTCTCTTGAATGCTTGTTTTCTGTTTTGTTGTTTGAGATAGATTTTACTCTGTTTTTGTTAAGATTCTTTTTTCCCTCAATAGCATATGTATACTCCCTCAGTATTTTAGTGGCATTTCATTGATCTGTTAACTTTTTTTTTTTTTTTTTTTTTTTTTTTTTGATCTGTTAACTTTAGGGGGTGTATGAGAGTTTTTACAGTATCAAAATCTAAACTATGATGTTTTACATTTTTAAAATTTTTATTTATTAGGGTTTCAAAAATTCCTGTACATAGGTCTTGCACATTTTTGAATTTTTTTAGTTACTGTTGTGAGACTATCTTTTGTTTGTTTCATTTTTATTTTTTACTTTATTTTCTTTGGTACTGGGAATTGAACTCAGGACCTTGGCAAACTCCGGTTTGAAGAACTGGAAAGTGTTAGTGAAAGCTGAAAATAGGAATACTTGCTGATGACAAGAGATGATTTACTAACATTTATGGGTTTGGTGATTCTTAGTTAAGTGTTTAAAACATGGGAAAGGTACAATATAGATGGATCGGTTGGTGACATCAATGTGAAAGTGCTGACCAAATGAATGTGCATTATACTAGAAATAGAGAAGCAGGCCAGAGTATCACTGCAGGGTGGTTAGACAGTCAACCTGAAGTGAGTGGCAGCTGTTTGATTTTTAGATTTTGGCAGAGAATGGAATAAAAAATGTTTCCAGAATTGTAAGGTAGAAGCTTAATTTAATGATGTATGATACGTATTAACTGTTAAAAGTTTTACATTCTTTACAGTTACAATCAGGGATGTGTAGGTGATAAAAGCTGGGATCAGTCCTGGCAGCCAGATTCTAGATCTTGAGCTGTTAGTCACAGCACTAAATACTGTCTCTCAGTTAATGCCTGTGATCCAGTAAAAATAAATGTGCACTTACTTTTGCAAATTTCAAGGTAGGTGATATATTGTATGCAAAATGAGGTTTAGAGAGTTAAATTCACAAGACTGTGTATCTCTCATGGTGGAGATGAGAAACAGTAATCTGTGTAATTTCAAACTTTGGATTCTTTCAGTATAGCATATTTATCTTTATCATATTTTAGTTACATGTAACATTTAACTTACTATTAATAAAGCTTTTAATGTTTTATTTCTTTCAGGGATTTATCAAAGATGTTCATGAAGACTCCCTCACAGTTGTTTTTGAAAATAAGTAAGTTATTTTTATTGACAGATGTTAATTTTAAAAGTTGTTAATGCTGTGGCGCAGACCTATAATCCCAGCACTTGGGAGGCTGAGGTAGGAGGATTGCTGGGAGTTCAAGGCCAGCCTGGGCTGCATAGTGAGTTCAAGATCAGTCTGAACTACGTAATGAGACACTGTCTCAAAAAAAAAAAAAAAAAAAAGATTGCTAGTGCTAAACTGTTTCTGGTCTTACTACTGTTGGTGAGAAAATGCTTTTGCTGTTGCATGGGACTCCTCTGGGTGTTTGATTGTCTTAAGAGTTCATATAAGTCCAGTTTTGATAACTCTTAATCTGTATTTCTCTCCTCAGTTTACTTATCACTCTTCTTTGCAAAAAACAAATATTAAGAAATACTTTCTTGGCTGAAATAGACGGCACAAATGACATTTTAATATGCTCAATTTTATTTATTTTTCATTAGTACATATTTGAATATGCTTTTTTTTTTTGGTCTTTTTTTTTTTTTTTTTTTGGAGACAGGGTCTCGCAATGCAGTTCAGGCTGGCCTTGAGCTCACTTTGTAGCCCAGGCTGGTCTCAAACTCACAGTGATCCTCCTGCCTCAGCCTCACCAGTGCTGGGATTACAGGTTTGCTCCACCACACCCAGGCTTATTTTGTTGTGAGACAGTATCCCACCGTGTAGTTCAGGCTGGCATGGCCTGGACTCACTGTGTACCCTAGACCAGCCGCAAACTTTCAGTGGTCCACCTGCTTCGGTCTCCTGAATATGTTTAATTTTTAAAATCCCAGAATGTTGAAATGCGACCAAAGTTACTAGGTTATCTTCTGATTGCCTGATACTAATTAATTAGAGCTAGTGTCAAAATTTTATGTAAGGGCTAGATGGTCTAAAAGCAGAAGGACAGTCAGTATACTAGGGTTGGGAAAGGATAATAAAAGAGCACAGTTTAATTGAAGGTCACAGAACTGTTCAACTTCCACATTTGAGCTGCTTCTGGAACTGCCTGAAAAGTTCTTTGCCAACAGCTGCTTCAGTGTAGAAACAAGTGTTGAGATGATTTGTCTTTAAGCAGCTGCCATTTAGATAGTAATGGTGAAAAGAAGCAGCCCACAATCATTTTACTTGTCACTTGCTGCTCTCCCCAGTACTGGCAGAGAGAAGCTGTGGGAGCATTTTATTTGTTAGTATAAATGGCTGAGAACTTAGAGTAAATGTATAAAATTTAATTTTATAAATTCAGGTTATAAAATGCAACAACTCATGTAAACAGATAAGTAGTTTAGTATTATTTATTACAAAAATTAAAGAAATTAAGCTTTTTTGTAAGGTCTAATTTATAATGTTTGTGTTTGTTGTAGGACAGTGACAGTAAAGCTTTGGTAATTCAGCTTTTCTTTTTTTTTTTTTTTTGAGACAGGGTCTTGCTATGCAGTTCAGGCTGGTCTTGAGCTCACTTTGTAGCCCAGGCTGGTCTCGAACTTGGAATGTTCCTTTTGCCTCAACCTGGGGTGCTGAGATTACAGGCATGTGCCACCACCGTGCCTGGCTTTAATTCAGCTATTTAAAGAATTGTTCCCCCTCTTGGTGTTAGGGATTAAACCCAGTGCCCCATATGCTAAATATGTGCTGTACCAGTGAGCCCCACCCTCAAACTGAATTGTATTTTTTTCTCTGACCGTGTATACTGTACAAAATTATGCAGTTTTTATTATTTTGAAATCTATGGAATTATGTTTCTTCACAAGTGATGTAGTTGTATTTGAGATACGTTGATTCTTCTACTTTTTGGGCATCTGTGTAAATGTTTATTTTGAACCTAAGTGAGTCATCACTGTAAACTTTCCTTTAATAGAACAATGTATGTACCAATCGTAGGATGATTAACTTGGAATGTGATATTGTGTTAATTGTTTATAAATATTACTAAGAGTTGTGCAGAATCTGTTCTACCTCAGTTTATTGAGGAAATTATAGTATTAAGCACACCAAATGATTAACTTAAAAAATATTTAGTACTAAGCATAGGCTATGTATATAGTTTCCATTTAAGGGGCTGTTAGAATAGTGTATCTTTACATTGTTAATTCCTTGTCTGATCTTTCAGTTGGCAACCAGAACGCCAGGTTCCATTTAATGAAGTTAGATTACCACCACCACCTGATATTAAAAAAGAAATTAGTGAAGGAGATGAAGTAGAGGTATGTGCTAAGTTTCTTTTTCTTATGGTACCTGTTTAAAACAAAAATTATGGGACAGGGCACTGGAGATTAAACCTAGGCCCTTGACACTGAGCTACAGCTTCAGTCCTTTTCTTGAGATGATTTCACTGAATCTAAGGTGCCCAGGGTGGGCCCTGGATTTGGGATCCCTCCTGTTTTAGCCTTGCAGAATGCTGGGATTACAGGGGTATGACACCATGCCTGGCTTGCTTTAAATAAATTTTCTTCTAGAAAATCTGTTCAGCTGGTAGAGAACATAATTCCTGTCTATTTGTGATGGCTAGGTAATGCAGAATTGCTTGAGATTTAGAGTCAACTAGATTCTTAGCTCTATTTTTTCCTTTGTGGGTTTGATGTCTTTTCACTAAAGTAAAGATTGATTAGGGATAATAGTGCATTTGGATTGATTTTAAAAGAATCTGACACAAATAATAAAAATATCTGATGCAGAATATGGTGTTAATCACTGTTTTTTGTCTTTGCAAGTTAGGACTAGTGATTTGGTTCGGTATCTGATAGTTATCATCTTATATTGTGGAGATTAGTAATCTGGTTCATACGTAATATGAAATATTATAATTAGCAAACTGCCTTGTAGAATATTCTGGAAAATTATAACCGTACAGAAAAGCAAAAAGAAAAAGAACACTGTTCAGCCACATTCTCACAGTGGGTTCCTATTTCACTGCTTCTCTTTATCTTGCTTTTTCATACTTAGTAGGTCTTGGGTATCTTGTCTTTAATGTTACCTGTTCATTAACATGCCTACTGTTATATAAGAAGAAAGTTAAAAATACTTCTTAGGTAGAAGTAGAATGATGAATGATAGGTATAGAACATTTTCTTTTTTTTTTTGATACTGGGAATCAAACTTGGGACCTTGTGCTTGCCAGGCAGGTGCTGTGCCTCTGAGCTGTCTCCATGGCCTTAGAACATTTTATTTTCATTTTAAGAAATTGGTACCGTTCTCCCAGATGCCCAATGTGCTATATAATTTTCACAGGAAGTTGATGGAAGAGATTTTTAAGTGTTTATATATACCTAATTTATATTGGGTAATGAAACTGGAACTGGTGGCATCGGAGAACCTCTTAACTGATGAAATAGGTGTCAGTAGCCATTTTTTTCTCCTGTTCTACTGAGGATCAAAGCCCAGGGCCCTATGTGTACTGGACAAGTGCTCTACCAATGAGCTATACCACCTTGCCCTAACTTAGTGCTTTTACAGTGTGTCCTCTGTTTCATTCACTGCTCTCTGGTGTTGACTTTTTTGTGCCAGTACTATGGTGGTTTTGTTACTGTGGCTTTGTAGTATAATCTGTTTTTGTTTTTATTTTCTATTAACTTTTTTATCAGTGCGTGCAGTGTATAATGATTGTATTTATTATGGTTATTTGTACATGATGGAGTACTACTCTACCATAGGGATAAACTTGAGGCATTCATAGATAAATGGACTAGACATTTCTAGACAGTTTTTTCTGCCAGTTTCATGTGTGTGTGTGTGTGTGTGTGTGTGTGTGTGTGTGTGTGTGTGTGTGTTTAAAGGCAGTGTCTCTATGTAGTGCAGGCTTGCCTTGAACTCAGTTATGTAGCCCAGGCTGGTCTTGAGCTCACAGTGATCCTGAGTGCTGGGAGTACAGGCCTGTGCCTGCACGCCTGGCCTCAGTTTTCTTTAATAAGGCTTTGAGTCTCTTAATTATTATATAGGAAGCCATATAATTTCATTACTTTTTTTTGTGAGGATAGCAAAAAGACATTGATTTATTTACAAAACTCATTTCTTTTATCACAGCTTTTTCTGGATTGTAGGCCCAATAAGAGCTTTGGGTTCAGAAATGTGCCAGAATTAGAAACGTGTGGGGGCCAGTTTTGGTAATAGTGCTTTTTATACTTTGTTTTCTCCTATCTCAGACACTTTACTGTGAGTCTCCTATTTATGGAAAAACTGCCTACTGATAGGCTGAAGATGTTACAGGTCCTTGAGCAGAAATGTTCAGCATTGTGTTTGTACTGTGTGTGTGGCCTGCCTCCTGATTTATGAACTAAAGGTGGTTATGATTGTTTTATTTTACTTAGTGCTTTATGATTCAGGCCTGAAAAGTTTTTCTCTGCACAATTTGGTGAATCATTATCAAAATTGAAGATATCCGGCTGGGCGTGGTGGTGCAAGCCTATAATCCCTGCACTCAGGAGGCTGAGGCAAGAGGATCCTTGCCAGTTTGAGACCAGACTGAACTGCATAGTGAGACCCTGTCTCAAAAGAAGACACACAAAAAAATTGAAGATATCATTAATTAATTAATTGTCTCTTTGTAAGAAGGCCCCTGTATTGGAAAAAAAAGAAATTAGCAGATTTTTTTTGCTAGCCATCATAGTTAACGTTTTCATGTTAAATTTTCCTGTGGTATAGATTGTAATACCTTCAGTAGCTGGATCAAAGGACATGGCTATCTTAAGATTTTGGTGGTAGGGTGGGGAAGTATCTCAGTTCTAGTGTGCTTGCCTAGCATGCATGAGGCCCTTTGTTTGATGTCCGACACCACTAAAACACTGCCAGAATTTGATAGTACAAAAATATACCACCTTGTCTTTCAAAAAAATGCTTCTTGAGTTGGGTGTGGTGACGGATGCATGTAATCCCAGCACCCAGGAGGTTGAGGCAGGAGAATCACCATGAGTTGAAGGCCAGCCTAGGCTACAGAGTGAATTTTAAGACCAGCCTGAACTGCATAGTGAAACCCTGTCTGAAAAAGACGAAAAAAAAAAGGTACAAAAATGCTTCTGGAAATTATCACTTCATAATTTTGCTGACATGCAAAAATACCTGTTCCATGTACATGGACTTACACAATTATGACCACTCTGTAAATGGTTTTTAATTTTTATTTTCCCCGGATGTGGGAGTACATGCCTGTAATCCCAGCACTTGGGAGGCTGAGGCAAGAGGATTGTTGCAACTTTGAGACCAGCGTGGGTTGCAAAGTGAGCTCAAGGCCAGCCTGAACTGCACAATGAGACCCTGCCTCAAAAAGACCCCCCGCAAAACAAAATTTTTTTTTAAAATTTTCATTAGAGTGTGTTTTCAGTACATAATGGTTGCATTCATTATGGGGAGTTGGTACTTGTACATAACACATCTTTTTATGTTCCCTTCCCTCCCCGCTCCCACTGTTGCAGTTTGTAAAGTTTTGTAAATCTAGTAGATAAAAGCCCATGTCTACTAAATTGTTTAATTAGTAATGACACGCAGCACTTTTCACTTAGTCCCTTGTTTTGCAACCGCGTTACCTTGGTTAAAGAGGGAAGGAAACTTTGGAAAAGTTAACCTTGCTGTAGAAAGCCTGCCACTTTGAAGATGGGAAAAGTGACTGGTTTGACTGTTAGTATTCCATTTAGAACTAAAATGGCCTGGAGCAGCTTTACACTGAGCTCATTAGGTATTGTTTTAGAGTTGAAGCACATGAAGCTTCTATTTTGGTAAGTCAGGAGTGGTTGAATGTTGACAATTTCATAGTTTATCCTCAGATTTTATGAAGTTAAAAGTATATTGGCTGCTTGAATATTAGATTAGCTTTTATAGCCAGCTTGATAGACATAAATGAAGCTAAAGCACATAAATTAATGTTATAGTCTAATAGTGGCGTCAAGGTTTTACATGATTTATAGTAGAAAGTTGATTTTTTTTTTTTTTTTTTCCGGTCTTTTTGAGACAAGGTCTTGCTTTGCAGTTCAGTGTGGCTTTGAGCTCACTTGGTAACCAAGGCTGGCTCACACTTGGAGCTATCCTCCTGCCCAGCCTCCGAGTGCTGAGATTACAGGTGTGCGCCACCATGCCGGGCTAGAAAGTTGATTGTGAAAAGGTTTGGATGGGTGTGGTGGCACATTTATATCCCAGCTAATAGGGAGGCTGAAGTAGGAAAACCACAATTTCAAGGCCATCCTGGACAACTTAGTGAGAGACTGTCTCAATGAAAACAAGTCTGGTGATGGTGTAGCACAGTGATAGAGCACGCCTTGGTTTAGTATTCTGGGCCATTTCAAGGGCTGTAGAAATTTCCCACAACCAAGTGATTTCACATTCATTTTCTTTTTTTTTTTTTTTTTTTTTTTGGTTTTT